GTCATATGAAAAAGCGGACATAGAAATAAAATGTGGAATGGGGGGGGGCTTTGAGCGCCAGATATGTGGTTGTGTTTTGTTTAAAATAGTAATAGTAGTAATAAATCAGTTTTATATGCTGCCTGACTCACTATGACTCTGGGCAATTTAACCGTTAAAATATTTAAAAACAAAGAACATAAACAGCAAAGATAAAATATGGCAAAGAAAATAAACTCAGAAGGAAATAAAGGGGTGGGGCAACATCATCCTCTTCAAAGACTTATAATGGGATTAGAAGTGCAAAAAGTAGTATATGGTACATTTGTTGGCTCACTTATGATTCAAGGGGGGGAGAGAGGATAGGCAGGGGCGGTTTTCTTGCCTGGAATAATACTATACTGTATTCGTAAATATTATGTAGTCCAGCTGCTGTACTGCCAGTCTATGCTGATTGAGCATCATGTAAGGCCTAGAAGTAGGAAAGACCATTTTTCTCTGCTACAGAGTCATAGAATTGGAAGGGCCATTTAGTGCAACCTCCTTCTCAGTTCAGTGAGTCAAAACATCCCAGGCAAGAAGACCCTCTGGCCTCTGCTGCTTGAATGGAGCCAATGAAGGGAAGCCCACCGTGGAATTTATTTTCCTATCACTTGAAATTATTGGTTCATATCCTACACTTTGGAGGGATGGCAGATAGATTTTGAGCAATTCACATTATCTTAGTCATCTTTGGAGATATCTAAAGCAGTGATCCCCAACCTTACTGGCACCAGGAACCAGTTTCATGGAAGACAATTTTTCCATGGATTGGAGGGGGGGTGGTTTTGCGCACAACCTACATCCTGCACATGCGCAGATAAAGCTTTGCTTGCTCGCCTGTCGCTTGCACGGCCTGATTCCTATCAGGTCATGGATCAGTACCGGTCCAAAGACTGGGGGTTGGGGACCCCCATCTAAAAAGTATGTTCATAGCCCCTTCAATCTTTTCTTGAGAAGTCAGTTCCTTCACTCTGGCAGTTCCTTCACTCTGTTTTCCGTTCCTTCACTCTGTCTTCATAGGACAGTTTCTAATCCTTTGGTAATCTTCATTTTCTGAAATGGTTACTCTTCCTAAAATGTTTGCTCAAAACTGGTCCCAGTACTCAAGGTGGGGGCATGTCTTCCATGCATGATTGTCTCAAGGGAATAAATTCTCACCACAGGCAGGAGGTGCTGTTGACATTAGAAATCAAGCTGGTTCTTTCCAAATTCTATTAATAGAGGCTTCTTTTGGCCCAGAAGTTTGTGTGTATGTGTACTGATGATTCCCTTTTTGATTCGGCAGAACCGATGTGAGGAAAGGCCGCCGAATTGCTGTCCCATCTTCTCTGCTGTGAATATGAACATATTTCTTGTGCACCTGTGCTGGTGGCTTAATTATTTCAAACAAATTTGAATTAGACTTTTCTGTATATAACATTCAATGAAGAATTTTGTGTATAAGACTAATCCATAGTTTAGCGTTATGTATACAAATAGCCTCAGGTAAAATGTAGTGCCGGAACATGCTGCCCCTTCTCTTTCTTTTTCCATGCAACTGCGGGAAGGAAAACGGGATTTGTGATTAAGAGTAAGCTACAGGGTTTTTTTTTATTATTCGCCAATGAAGTCAAATTCAAATGTAGCATATAGTTAATTGGTTTTTAAAAAGCTGGAGTTTACTTTCAACCACAGTTCTCAGACTGCATATAGAAATACAGGTAGTCCGGGATTTACAGCAGTCCATATAGTGATCACTCAAAGTCACAACACTGAAAAAAGTGACATTACCATTTTTTCACACTTGACCATTACCGCATCCCCAGGATCACATGATCAAAATTCAGCCACTTGGCAACTAGGGTCATGTGATCACTTTTTGCAATCTTCTGACAAATTAATAATAATAATAATAATAATAATAATAATAATAATAATAATAATAATAATAATAATAATAAAGTTGGAAGGTACCTTGGAGGTCATCGAGTCCAACCCCCTGCTCAGGCAGGAATCCTACACCATTTCAGACAAATGGCTGTCCAGTCTCTTCTTAAAAACTTCCAGTGTTGGAGCATTCACCGCTTCTGGAAGCAGGTTGTTCCATTGGTTAATTGTTCTAACTAATTGTCAACGGAGAAGTCGGATTCACTTAATCGTGTTACTGACTTTATAACTGCAATGATTCACTTAACAACTGTGGCAAGAAAGATTGTAAAATGGGGCAAAACTCAGCAATAGAAATTTGGGGTTCAGTTATGGTCATAAATTGAGGATTATTTATAAAACAGGAAATGCGGAAAGTAAATGGGATTGTGGTTTAGTTCTCAGTCTACACAGAAGGAAGAAAGAGTACCTGATTCTGCAGATTTTATCTGTAACGATTCCAGTGTATCATTGTTTGTGGAAACAGTTAATAATTGGTTTCACATATAACTTATTAGAGTAGTAATAGTGGTTTGTTGAAATACTGTAATAGACTGATTTGCATTTAATGTTAAGTCATTAATTACATTTATATCATGGTAATCCGAAATTTGACTTCGTGTTGTTACGTGTAAACCTCACTAACAGGGATATGTAGGAAGAATATACATTATGCTAATATTTTTACAATCTGAATAGATGTCTATTTTTATGTAAGTTTAGTAAAACAACTTTTTAGGAGATGTATCATTTTAGTATTTTAATGGATTTTGTAGAGCATTTTCTCTTGGCTACTATTCATCTGTGAATTTTGTTTGTGAACTCTCTTATTCATGTTTATTTTCAGCCCCTTTTATTGGGGATAATTTATCTTCCTCACATGTTCTTTCTTACTAAAATAGACAAACAGCTTGTTTGAAGAACTGATCACTTGAAAATTCTCTTATTTAATTGATCAAATCTGCACGACAGAAAGGAAACATATTTCTTGATAGAGAGAAGCATTGATGCAGAAATGTTTTGCAATAATAAGTTTAAAGTAAAAGAGTCTTTGTTCTCTCACAAGAGAAATATAACACTTAAAAGATGAAACCTGCAGCAGCATTTGTATGCACTATGTAAAAATGTAAATTACCTTTTGATGCATATTCTTATAAAAACTGCAGACACCAGGCATAATCTTCTTATGTTGTTAATTAGAGAAGAACACCTAAATTTGACTCACTATTACAGAATGGAGCACAATGCTTTAGAAGAATTTAGAGGATTTTTAAGAACGGACTCAAAACATAATCTTAAAATTGTCTGCTGTCTTGGATAAACTGGATTTAAAATAAGCTGTAGAAAAAGAACAAGTATTATTGGACAAAACTGATGCTGATTTGAATGTAGATTTAAAAATGACAAATTATAAGAATGATTTGGAAAAAAATGGCACATTGATTATACAGATGACATTGGCTGATGTCTTAATAATTAAAAGGGTTATACATATAACAAACCAGAAGAATGACTGAGATAATTTTGTTATATTAGATTTACAAAAGAACTTGTTAAAGTTTCAAAATATATTCTGAGAAGAGACAAAGAGAAAATGAAAAGAAATCAAGTTCTGAGACATTCAAAGGGATTAAAGATCAGAATAAAAAGGAAGGAATATAAAGTTGGTTTATTTGATCAAGATTAAAATATGCATGTTGTTGTAAGGAAGGAATATAAAAGTTGATTTATTTAATCAAGGTTAAAATATGCATGTTGTTATTTCTGGTGACCCTTACCGTAATAGATTTTTATTGACCAGCACCAAACAACATAGCTCTAAAGATTTGGGGGGAAAAGGAGGTTTTGCTGTGTTTTGGGAGCAAATGATAAACAATTATGTTAAAATAAATGGAAGAAATATAAACTTGGTTTATTTGGTTACATTTAAAATATATGCACTATTTGCTGGTAACTCTTAATAGTCTTTTCTGATTAAGATTGGGAGATTATAAGAATTTATGCATGAGAAATGAGATACAGAAAAATGATATTTTGTACTGGTGAGGAAGGGGGAAAGCCATTTTAAATATATTTCTTTTTTTCTTTATTATGTACTTATTTTTCCTTTTCCTTTTTGCTTTGTATTTTCTTTTCTGCACTTTCTATCCCTCTTTCATTCCTTTTTTTTACTATTTTAGTTTGTATTAATCTTTTATCTTTGTAACTGCAAACTTTAATACAATTATTATTTTAAAAAAGAAGCACTCTATTCTTTCCACAAGAGGGAGCGTGTCTTCTCTAAGATGATGTGTATTCCATTTACAATTTGTCTCTAGTCCAAGAGCTTCTAAAATATAAACAAAGTTTCAGTTACTCAAGTATTGGAGATACCTTTTGGGTTCATTAATACAGCTTTAATTGATTAACTAGTTTTTTCAACATAGTCAAAAAGTTCTGGCTTTGTTTGGCTTTTCCTCTAGGGCAGCATGTCAAATTCGTGACGTCGCGTGACGTATCGGAGCTTTTTCGTCATTGCGGATGGGGTGGGTGCGGCTCCGGTATGATGAAACTGGCCCGTGGGCCGGCAGTTTGATACCCCTGCTCTAGGGTTACTTCTCCTTACCATTTTGCTGTCATCAGTTAAGAACAGAGTGTTGCCCAAACACCATTTTTTCCTCCCAATTTTTGATTTATTGTTATAAACCCTTTAAACTGAAAGCAAAGATTATTTTGCATGCAATCTACATTTATTAGGGCTGGGTACAGTTCACAGATTATTCAGAAAAAGTGCCTTCAGAGCCCCTTAAGCATGAATCTAGTGCCTTATTGCTATTTAGTTTTTTTTTTTTCAAACTTCCCAACAACCTGGGGGAAAAGTTGCAGCTGCTTTAAGAATTTGACTTGGTAAAGAGAACGTGGTTCTTAATGTTTGGCCTCCAAAGTCTTTCTTCTGAATTATTTTTGAAGCAGGCACAGACTTATTACTTAGCAATGCACCACATTAAGATGTAACATACCTTTAAAAAAAAGTCAGATAGTGATATATTTTGTGATAGTCTGATTGTTTTTTAATATAAATGTATTTGTTGCAGAGATCAGCAGATGAGTCAAGTCCAGAAGATGGGGAAGGTGAGGAAGCTCATTCCACTTGCCTAAAGAATCCAGAAAAATCCCTGAATATAATTTGAAACATTTTCCCCTGCCTGGCTATTTATGGCTGTAAATGCATTTATTTTGCGGAGGGATTCCAATAGCCGGTCTCCGTGTTTTAAGAGTCTTGACCTCCCATGTCAAAACAGACCCCATAATCTAATGCAGAGTACATGTTAAAAGCACTGCTGAACTGTGAGCAAAGGCCAGCAGTATTTTTCTAGCATTGGTTAGCTCAGTGGTTCTTAACCTTTTTGAACGAATCGTCCCCTTGAGCCAATGCGGAAGTTGTCATCGCCCCCCTCCCCCAACATAACCTCTCAATCACAACATGGGAAATAATTCTTCAATTTATGCAAACACTTTTTTTGTTTTCTTTAAAATTGTTCATCAGAACATACCGATGCAAATAATTTATTTCCAGTCTTTTCCCCATATCTCCCATATTCTGGCTAATGGCGCGCCACTGTATGGTACAGGCTGCTGCACAACATGCATGAAGATAAGCAATGTGTATTTACATATGTACGGTGTTCTGTACTGGAGCTAGCTGGAGGAACATTTGGAAACACAATTCAATCCACTAATAGCGAGCGATCTGATGTTTTTGTATGACAGATATACAGCCATTCACTGTACGAAAAAGTCTTAAAAGTGTCCCCAAAACCTCTCGCTCCATCACCCCCATATCGCCCCCTTTTTGTTCCTTCGCCCCCACATCGCCCCTTTTCGTTCCATCGCCCCCCTGAAAAATGAAATCGCCCCCTGGGGGGCAATATCGCCCAGGTTAAGAACCACTGGGTTAGCTTAACAATGAATAGTTTTGATAGCCGTAATGTTTTCTATCTGACTAATCATGTAGTATTTAGAGCAGGGGTCTCCAAAGTTGGCAACTTTAAGACTTGTAGACTTCAACTTCAGCCAGCCATGCTGCTGGGGATTCTGGGAGTTCTGGCAACAGGTCTTAAAAGTTGCCAAATCTAGAGAAACCTGACGTAGAGAAAAGACATCTCTAAATAGGGAAGTTCCATTTAGTCTTCATGGATGGTTGCCTTCAGTAAAACCAGTTGGTAGCAATTGCCGTAAGTTAATTGTACACTGATGTATAAAGAAGGGGTGTAGCAATGCTGACATTTGGAGAAAGTTAAAGACAGGGTTCCTCTGTGGATAAATAGCTGTGAAATGGCCTTGTCTTTGAAAACAGGATCAGTCAATGGGAACTATCTATTGCAGGCCTATTTAGCTTAGATTGCCACTTGAGTGGGTGAGAATCCAATCCGAATTACCTGCCAGGGCTATATTTTTACTTCTTCTGTTTACTGACTTTCCCTACAGAATCTGACCGAGAAGATGGGGGTTACTGTCCTCCTGTAAAACGGGAAAGAACGTCTTCATTAACACAGTTTCCTCCTTCACAGCCAGGTAAAGAAAAAACCATTCCTAGATCTGCCTCTTTTTGTCCCATTCCTGTTGTCCAGCTTTGCCTGAGAAATGAATGCATGTTTAAACAGTGCCTTGAGGAAAATTAGAGGTAATAGGGACACAGCCATTAGGTATATTGTACATTTAAATTTCACTTCATAATTAGATAAACCTGAATTAGAAGAACATTGAATTAGTGGCCTTTTTTAGAAAATCTTTATTTAGACACATTACTCAGAAAAATGCTGTATAAAATCATCAGGATGCTTGGCATTATTCTAATAATATTGGCTGGTTCTGGTTAGTTTTAGCTCAGCATGTTTTTATTTATTTTATTTATTTATTAGATCTTTATCCCATCTCTATTACTTTTAGCAATAGGAATAGCACTTTTATAACACCCTATAGTGCTTTATAGCACTCCCTGGGCAGTGTATAATGTCAGCATATTGTCCCCAACAATCCGAGTCCTCATTTTACCAACTTTGGAAGGATTGAAGGCTGAGTCAACTTCGAGCCTCATCAGGATCAACTCCAATACTGCATTCTAACAACAGTGCCACCAAAGCTCCTTTTATAAGAAACTTATCTTTTGATTTCTGGTTCTTTTTCCTTTTGAAAAAATAATAACATTGGGCAAAATATTAGAATCTTGGCCATTGCCTCTCCCATTGTACAGCTTGTGCAATTATCTTATGTTTTTTTATTATTATTTTGCACTACAGAGGAAAAGAGCATTGGATTCAGACTGAAGCCACCGACTCTCATCCACGGCCAGGCACCAAGTGCAGGTAAGCGATGGCTTTGTGTGAGATGGAGGGAAAACAAAAGGTATAAGATAGTAGAGGATTTTTAAAAATTGACAGCCTATAAATCTAAACATGTAAACTATAAATAGATAAATTAATAATCATGTATTTTAATACAGGTAATCCTTGACTTACCGTTCAGAGTTACAGCGGCACTGAAAAAAAGTTGCTTATGACTATTTTTCACACTTAATAACTTTTGTAGCATCTCTATCATCATATTAAAATTCAGATGCTTGGCAACTGGTTCATATTTACGACCATTACTGTGTCCCAAGGCCGTGTGATCACCTTTTGCAACCTTTTGACAGGCAAAATCAATGAGGAACCAGATTCACTTAACAGCTATATTACTAACTTATCATGATTCACTTAACAATTGTGGAAAAAAGGTCGTAAAATGGGGCAAAACTCTCTCACGTGTCTCACTTAGCAATGGAAATTTTTGACTCGTCTGTGGTCGTAAGTCGAGGACTACCTGTAGTATCTTCCTAAAATAATCATCTTAACTTCTCATTGATACTACTCTGCTGGTTCTATTATGCTTTTTAAGCCCTGTCTTTACTATGGCTAAGAAGTACTTTGAAATGTGGTTTAACTCTTCAGGCATTGCATTTTAGAGAGAGTGCCGAGAATGTGTTATCAGAAAGTTGGGATCTTTCAGTACAACTGTGTAGGCTAAAACCTACCTTGTAGATTTTAATTACCCTTAACATAAAATTTCAGAAACTATTGTTCAGTAAAGGATGAGCAACAGACAAAAAATTCTTAACTCCTCCTAGATTCTTCAGGAAAATCAGAAACATAGAATGCAATCAATTTGAAAGGTCCATTTATGTTTTTCCTGGATCTTGGAGATATTCTGGAAGAGTCAGGGAGACTCATCACTGGAGGTTGGACAGAACCTATCATTTTTCCCACTGCCTAAGCACTTTTTTTGATTAGTTGCAGTATAAACATTATCTAGGGAGGCAAATGCTCTGCATCTCAGCTCATCAATTCGGGCATACACGAATGGAGTACAGTGGTCACCCAGAATATTAAGCCATTCCAGAAAGTTTTAAGGATTGTTTATATCATTTATTCCTTTTTTTATCACACTCTTTTGGAATGTTTTGGAATATTCTTTATTGGCCAAGAGTGATTGGACACACAAGGAATTTGTCGCCAGTGCATAAGTTCTCAGTGTCCATACAAACAACACAGTGGTAAGTCATAGATCATAAATCCTAAGACACAACCCATAAACCATAAGATGCAGACAAGAAGTGATAAATCGTAAGATACCAATGGGAGCAGTAGGAAAGAGGGGAAGATGAGGAAGATGAGGAAGATAATAGCAATGCAGCCTTGCTTACATGGTTAGAAATCTTAAGGCATAAGGCAGTGCTGTGGGAATTAGGTGTTTAGCGAAGTGATGGCATGGGGGGGAAATCTGTTTTTATGTCTAGTTGTTTTGGCATGCAATGCCCTGTAGTGACATTCTGAGGAGAGGAGTTGAAACAGTTTATGTCCAGGATGTGAGGGGTCTGTAGATATTTTCTCAGCCCTCTTTCTGGTTCGTACAGTATACAGGTCCTCAAGGGAAGGCAAGCTGGTTGCAATTGGGGTTGTTTTTTTCCTGCGATCCTAACTATCCATTGAAGTCTGTACCTGTCCTGTTTGGTTGCTGTACCAAACCAGACAGTTATGAAAGTACAAATGACAGACTCAGTAATCCCTCTGTAGAACTGTATCAGCTCTTGTTCTTAAAGTGGCTGTTCTGGAAAGCAAAAGATGCAGCTGTACTACTTCCAAGGGCTGCTTCGTTTTTCTAATACTACAGCTTATTCTGCAAACAGGTTGCCTATTTCTAGACATTTGAAATTCAGCCTGAAGTTTTAAACTGAATTGTAATATTGTTTTAAACTATAGAGTAATTTTGTATATACAAGAAATATTTAACCTGCATCTGCTTTCCTGCAGTGTCAAAATATTAATTCTGCTTCTGCTCTCCACTCACACTCCTCTATATAATGTCCTTTTAGATTATCTGAAGCTTACATTTCAAAATCCTTTACCATAGTCCTGTATTTTTAACACAACTCATTCCCAGGGCAAACTGTTTGTTGCTGTTCACCCTTTGCTGATTTTTTTCTCATTACCAATGCGAGCAGTGCTAAGAGTCAAAGAAAGAATTGCTTGCTTTCATTTTCAGGAGTCCCAAGTCAGAAACCGAAGGAACAACAGCGAAGTGTCTTGCGCCCAGCAGTATTGCAAGCTCCCCAGCCAAAAGCTTTTTCACAAACAGGCAAGTTAGTCTCTGTAATCTCTTTATTCAGGGTGATAAATTTCAAGCTGGCAAGACCTTTTGAAGGAGTAAATGTCTTAAGTGTTTATAGGTATCTTATGATATTTTCAAATTCTACCCACTGTTTCGGTTGATTTTCCAAAATGAAGGGGATATCCTAGCAACTGGATGATAGTATTTTAGAGGGTAAAAATGAATTTACATAAATTATGATTCAAATATGGAAGATGAGCATAGACTACCTTTAACACCCACGCAGATATATCTGAGCTTTTACAATCAGATTAGAATTCATCAAATGACAACGTGGAAGAATAAGGGATTAGAATAATACACAGATTTTTATAAAAAAAATAATTTACTAGGATCTCGAAGAGTTATATTTGTTTTATAAATATTTTATTTATTTTTTATCCCGCCTTTATTATTTTTTATAAATAAGCCAAGAGTATGAACACACTGCTTCCTTCTATTTTCCCCACAACAACGACCCTGTGAGGTGGGCTGGGCTGAAAGAGTGACTGGCCCAAAGTCACCCAGTCAGCTTTCATGCCTAAGGGGGCACTAGAACTCACAGTCTCCTGGTTTCTCACTTGATGCCTTAACCTCAGACCAAACTGACTCTTGAATAAGTCTTTTGTCAATGCACAGGATTTGTGGAAAATTTAATATAATCTATAACAGTGATGACGAACCTTTTAGAGACCGAGTGCCCCAAAACTGGCCCCGCCTCTGCTCCACCCCCTGCTGTGCCACTGCTCTGCCCCCACACCGTCCCCCACCCTGCCTGTCCGCAGGGCCAATCACCGCTTCCAGGGCCCGCCACAGATCGCCCAGGCAGCCCAACAGCACCAATGGCAGTCACACCCTCTGCCTGCACCCCGCAGCATCAACTGTGTGCGATGGGTCGTGAGGGCAGAGTCTTGTCTACACTGCCTGGCTGCCATGTCCTTGGCTGCGCTGCTCCACGTGGGCCACGCTCAGGGGCGACTCCTCTAGGGGGGCTGCTGGTGAGGGTGTCGTAGGGGGGAGACGAGACTGGGGCAATGGCATGTGTGCCCACAGAGAGGGCTCCGAATGTCGCCTCTGGCACGCGTGCCATAGGTTCACCACCACTGATCTATAATAAGACTGGAAGGCAAACTAGTGTTTTGGATATAAATAATAGGAAACACCTCTAAAAATCACAGCAAGCTAGTTATTTGTCTAGATCAGTGGTGTCAAACTGCTGTCCTGCGGGCTGGTTGCATCATGCGGAGGTCGCGCCCACCCCAGCTCCAGCAATACGAAAAAAGTCACAATCTGTCGCGACACATCACATGACGTGGTGATTTTGACACCCGTGGTCTAGATGAAATTATAATTTGACCCTGTATAAAACGGCTCGCTTTTCAGTTCATGAAGCAGTGTGCAAAGTGACTCACAAAACTACAATAAATCTCAGTTTCTAAATATCCAAGTGTAAATTGCCTCCAAGCAGAATATCATGTGTTTATCTAAAGTTATATGTGTATACCCGTCAGTGTGTGTGTGTAGGGGGGGGTATCAAGTCACAGATGATTGATAAAGATATGCAAACAAAGGCTGGGTTATGGAAATATTTGCAAGGCTGCTAGAACCATGTTACCTGGTACTGAGGAAATATTGGATGCATCATTTTATATTTCTCTTTTTGAAAAAAGAGAAGCATTGACCTTCTTAAAGGGTACATGTTGAAGTATATAACAGAAGCTGGAGCTGAAGAACAGAACTGGGTTTTCCTCATTTCCTCATTTTTGAGGAATGAGCTGTAACTTCTTTGGGGTGGGAAATGTCATCGAGTCATCAAGTCCTATCACTTTGAAAAAAAATCAGTGGACAGTGAATCCTTTGCAAAAAAAATTTCAAGTAATCTTGGCATGTCCTGTTTGTAGGTTTTTTTTATTTGTCTGAGTGATCCAATAAGCCAGTGTTTCCCAAACTTGACAATTTTAAGGCATGAGGACTTCAACTCCCAATTCTGGGAGTTGAAGTCCACATGCCTTAAAATTGTCAAGTTTGGGAAACACTGCAATAAGCGAAAGAATGTTAGACTAGAAAGACCCAATGCAAATTCATCTTACTGAGCTCTGCTCACTTATTACGTTTAACAGTGTTACGTACTAACTGGTCCAGCTATCTGGGCTTCCCATCTCTACAACAAATACAGAGTAATATTAGATTTAGTGCAAGGTCAAAAAATAAAGGTGCGATAGCCTTTACATCTTGCATGTTGTTTCTTATCATAGTTCCAAGCAGTGGAACCAATGGTGTAAGTATCCCTCCAGATCCTCTGGCTGCTACATTTGAACCCACAACTAATACCATACCGAAAAGTCCCGATTCAGAAGAAATGGTGAGTCTGTTGATGGCATTTGGGAAATAGATGGAATCTGGGAAGGAGGTTGGTGGGTCTCTTGCTCTTTTGCTTCAGCACCGGGGTTTGTGTTGTTCGGGGCCATCTGGTAAAGTCTTTTCCAAGGTGAACTGGACTCCCAATAGCTTCTTGGACATTTGTGTTTGTTACTTCCAATGAAATATGAAAATGGCATTTTCTCTCCACTGATTATCCCGTACCCGAGATTCCTTTGCTCTTCTGGCATAGTGGATTCCAGATAAACCAGTGAGGCACAGTGGCTTGAGTGTTTGACCTATGAAGCCTGGCTTCAAGTCCATGCTGGGCCATGAGACTTTTAGTGTGACCCTGGACCAGTCACGTACACCCAGCTTAGCCCAAATTGTTTTAATAGATTGAAGGGGAAGAGGGGGAGGGAATCACATTTCTAGTTTTCTTCACTGGTTTCTTTTTCTTGTGGTTATGTTCTCCCTCCCTTCCCCCTTTCTCTCTTGTTTAGGAGAACCCATGCCAGAAAAATAAACCCAACAATGCTTCACATACTGAAAAATGTGAAAAAGAGCAGAACACACAGCAATCCTTTGTGTTTGGGCAAAACCTAAGAGACAGAGTGAAGGTATTTTTCCAGTTTGGGTCCAGGTACTGCTGGTAAACGTTAAGGGGGCAATAGCTCAGCGGCAATGCCCATGTTTTAGGCAGAACCTTCAACTCCTGATGCTTTGGTTATATATTCTTGAGTGGATCATGATGGGAGAGGAATCTGTCTCTGCTTCAGGCTCTCCAGAAAGCTGTTGCCATTCATAGCTAAGTGATGCACTAGATAAGGGATGTGCAGTTCTGTTTGATTCCTTTCAATTGCCCTCTCAGGTTAATCATGCACAGACATTCCTAGAGAGGGCAGTCACGATTTGAAAAATTGTGCACGATCTATTCTCATTCTGTAAATTTGCAGTCAATGAACTATCCTCATTCTGTAAATTTCTGCCAATCAGAAAAGGAAGAATGCTTGCCATAGGTCCGTATTTGTAATTAGACACTCAAGTGTTGTTATTAGACATTAACATGAAGCAACTTCTACTTAGCTTAGGCTTAGGCTTAGACTAGTTGTGACCCTACCTCATTAAGGAGAGGTGGAACTTAATGATCTTTTGGAATCTCTGATACTGACTCCTGCATAACATATTTTTGGGGCCACTCTTGGAAGTTTTTCTGCACCCCTGAGGGATAGAAATGAATCGTAAGCATTGTTCTTAGAATCGAAGATTATATATTGTATCACTTGCGTGACTGGCTTTCTTCCTACAGAACTTCAGGCTCCATATCTACTCTTGATTTTGAGCACCAACTTTAATTGAAGGGTTGTTCTTTTTCTGTTCAGGAGCTATATTCTAAAACAGTCTTCCTTCATTCCAGCTATTTCATAAATCAGTGTCTGTATGAGAGAGACAACAGAATGGAAGATGGAATGGGGAGTAAACCTCTCTCTCCCCCTCCTCTCCCCCCTGCTCTCTCCCTCTCTCTCCCTTTCTCTCTCTAGCTCTCTATCTCTGCATACCTGAAGCAAGTTGTTTGCTTAGTGGTGGAGGTTATGCAGAATTTCCATCACTGGAGCTCTGGAATCTCCAGTTCAAGGCTGTTGGGAGCCTTTTAGAGTAGCTGGAACTCCTTCAGAGCAGCTTCTAATCAGAGGATCCAATACTACTCTAAGATGGACCAATTAGCTAACTAATCCAAAGCAGTTTCCAGTATTTTATATACATTTGTGCTTTGTGTTGTTCTCTGAACCTTACCCAATCTCAGTGCCACCCATCTTATCCCAGCTAGGAGATGAAGGGGATGAATCAGCTGATGTGCAAAACACCTGGCTCCCAAGCTCTGAGATGCCTTCTGCTACAAACTACTTCCTGCAGTATATCAGCTCCAGGTGGGGGAGGATGTCAGCAACTTCCTCACTTTCACTGCTTTTCACTTCTCCTTTCCTTAAGCAAAGTGGCAGAGGGACTGTGGGTGTAAAGAGGCAGGGTTTGCTTTCTTTCCATCAAATTGTAAAGAGTATTTCTCTCCTTCCAGCTTAGAAAACTCTACACACAGTGCCGATGCTTCCACCAACAAATTTGTATTTGGGCAGAATATGAGCGAAAGAGTGCTGGTAAGTCTGTCCAGCTTTGGAGGGCTTTTATGGATTTGGATATATGTTGCTCTACTCATTGGAGCTGCACTAGTGTCTGTGGCGCTACAGTTTGTTCATGCCTGATTTATATTTTTGTAAACCTGCAACGATGCTATGCAGCCACAGCAACATATATAATTCTTCTTCTGCCTATTATCTTTTCCAAACCCATGTGTTACCTTCAGAATAAGGGCGATAGGCCAAGATCATTTTCGAGTAGAGTAGGGATTTGAGCCAATCTTTTTTTATAGTGACTGCTGGTACTTTGTGTTAGAGTTCTGGAGTGGCTGCTTTCTGCCAGCTGATTGCAAAGAACCCAGGATGAGATACTGTTGTCCCTGTGTATAGACTTGGGGGCAGGCCGCAATCTAATGGCAGGATGGAATTAGCACTCTCACCCATAGGTGCACTCATGCCAGTAGCAGCCTTTAGATGGTCACTCATCACTTGCACAGATATTAGGTAGAGAATGGTAGGATAAATATTGAAGCAGAGGCTATCCTGTAAAACAGAAAAACAGCTGTTCCTCACATTTAGCCTTGCTTCATCTTTCTGTCAGGAGTTTAGGTAGCAAATGTTTTCAGCTTCACAAATAGCTCTACGTCAGCGGTTCTCAACCTATGGGTCGCGACCCCATTTGGGATCGATCGACCATTTCACACAGGTCGCCAAGCAAGGCTGTCCGCCATTTTTCCCCCTTTTCCGGCGGGTGCCTTACCTCCCTTGGGCTGGGCCAGCTGGTGGCCCAGCCGGTGGTCGGCCTGCTCCGTCTCTGCCGCTTGCCAGCTACGCCTCGGCCGGCGCAGGGGGCGGCACCACACATGCGCGGCACTCCCGGGCAGGGAAAGTCCTCGACTTACGACTGGTTGGGTAGTCCTCGACCTATGACCGGTTTAGTCCTCGACTTACGACTGGTTTAGTCTTCGACTTATGACCAGTTGGGGGTCGTGACATTAAAAAGGTTGAGAACCACTGCTCTACGTCATCTCTGAGTCCACCAAAATCAACTCTCAATTAGCTATTAGCTAAGCCTGAGCTACACCCAAATAGATACTGATGATTTATTAATTGGTTTGCTAAATGCTTGAAGTTATAACAGTTCTGAAAGTATTATTTGTGACTGGTATTGGTAAAAGAGCCGTGGTGGCGCAGTGGTTAGAATGCAGTATTGCAGGCTAATTCTGCCAACTGCCAACAGTTTGATCCTGACTGAGTCAAGGTTGACTCAGCCTTCCATCCTTCCAAGGTCGGTAAAATGAGGACCCAGATTCGGGGCAATATGCTGACTCTGTAAACCACTTAGAGAGGTTGTAAAGCACTATGAAGTGGTATATAAGTCTAAGTGCTGTTGCTGGTACTCCCAAGTTCTGACTGTCCCAGCACCCCCACGGTCATGTGACTATGATCTGGGCACTTGGCAGCCAACTCCCAGTTAACGATAGTTGCAGCATCCTGTAATCACCATTTGCAACCCTCCCTGTTGGCTTCCCACAAGCAAAGTTGATGGAGAGGCCAGCAGGGAAGATCACAAGTCAATCTGGTAAGTCAACCCCAGTCCTGCCATACTGTGTCGGTCACCTCCAGGCACTCCCCACGCCCAGCAGCAGCTGCTTACCTGCCTGCTTGCCAGCCTGCATGCAAACTGTCTGGAACTTGCGATTTTCTACTGGCTTCCCCCTGACTTTGGTTATAGGAAGTTACAGAGAAGTTCTCACTTAATGACCTGTGATCCTCACTTAACGATGGCAATGGAAACTGCCAAGATTTGCTATCAGCAATGCAGCCATGCGATGGAACTTTATGACTGCATTGCATAGTGATGGAATTTCCAGTCCCAGTGACCGTTCTTAACCTATATGTTGCAGACAAATAACCTAAGATACTGCCTTAAGCCTGAAATGTTGGTAATGGTTTTAGGCCCTATTCTTTTTCGTTTTTGTAGAGTCCACCCAAATCAAGTGAGCTCAGCACAGACAGTAACAAGGAAAACACCACTGGTGACTCTGGCTCTGAATCTTCATCACAGGAAGCCACACCAGAAAAAGGTAAACAAACAACAGTCCCCCCCCCTCCCTCCCTCTCTCCCTCAAGCTGACCTGCTAGACAGCTTCTGTCTCACAACCACTTATGGCCCTTAAGTTCCATTATTGCAACTTTCAGAAGCCCCTGTGACTTAAGTGATGAAGATATAACAAAGTACCATCGCTTTGGAGTGGGACACCTATGAAAACTTTAAAGTAATTTTATATAGAGCCCTGGTGGCACAGTGGTTAAAACGGAGTATTGCAGGCTAACTTTGCTGACTACCAGTTGCCAGCAATTCGAGTCTCACTGGCTCAAGGTTGATTCAGGAAGATACCATCCTTCCGAGGTTGGTAAAATGAGGACCCAGATTATTGGGGCGGCAATATGCTGACTATGTAAACCGCTTAGAGAGCTGTAAAGCATTGTGAAGCGGTATATAAGTCTAAGTGCTATTGCTATATCACAGTGATGGCGAACCTTTTAGAGACTGAGTGCCCAAAAAACGTCCCACCCCCCAGCCCGACCATCCTCCGCCCCGTCCCATCCCCTGCAGGGCTACTCACCGCCTCCACGGCCCACCGCAGCAGATCACCCAGGTGGCCTTGCAGTGCCATGGCAGCCCCGCCTGCATCCCGCAGCATCATCGGCACGCGAGTCTTGTCCCTGCATCCCAGCTGCCATGTTCTTGGCTGTGCTGCTCTGCGTAGGCCGTGCTTGGGGGAGATTCTCCTCCGGGAGGCTGCTGGTGAGGAGGGGGCTGCAGGGGGAGACGGGGCTGGGTGTTGTGGTTCCGGCTAATGAAACATTCCAAAGAACTTCCAGGCACTTATTTTCCTAAAAGTCTTTTATTGTTACAAAATCTCGGCACAGGCACAACAGAGGAATGCTAGGTTCTAAGTTCTTTTCCTCTGAGCAGTTAAATTATCAGCATGTTCCCTCCCTAAATTAGCTGTGATATCTCACATTATCCAATTAGTGTGAAGGTCAAATGTTTTCTTCCTCTTTCTTTCCCGGGCTTTACCCCCAACCCCTCCTTCTGCTCTGTATTAACCCCATAATTAACAGATAATTCTACATATTGTCAAAAGCAAGAATATACAATATTTGCAGCATTGACACGGGGGCAATGGCACACATGCCCACAGACAGGGCTTCGAGTGCCGCCTCTGGCATGCGTGCCATAGGTTCGCCACCACTGCTATATCAGATTCAGAACGTGAGTAACTTGCACTGACAAGGACTCCTTTTTTTTTTTAGAAATGATAGAAGTTGTTACTTCACTATTTTAGTAAATGTGTTCTGGATATGTTAAAATATCCAAATTTATAATTAAATTTATAGTTAAAAATAATTTAGAGACCCATGTTTTTTGTTACACAAATTGGATTCCTGGGCTAGAATGTGTCATGGATATTTAGCATCCCAGCAATAGACTGATTAGTTTTAGTGCTCATACAGCAGTTTTATTGAAGCTATTTCTGTTGCTGGGGGGCAGGGTGTGGGTGTGGGTTGGGTAAGTAGGTTAGTTGTTGCTCTGTAATTCTTTTTGCTGCATTAAATTCATTTTAAACAGAATATTCATTTATTTCTATAGTATAACAAATTTGGTAACTAAATTTCATGGAGAAAAGTTACTTTGTGGGTATTTTTGTATCTTCTATACATCCAAGCTATGCATGAAAGGATACAGGTAGTTCTCAACTTACGGCTGTAATTGAGCCCAGAATTTATAGTCATAGGTTGTGCCAGTTTTTAAGTGGATTACCATGTGACTGCACCAGGTTTTATAACCTTTTTTGCCTCAGTCATTAAGGAAACCCATTTTATTCGATGGGTATTTTTTTTTGCTCAAAACCGGAAGTTAATATGGGAAACTGGCAAAAATGTCTAAATTGAAGACATGAGATCAGAGGACGCTGCAAATGGCTGTATATGCTAGTTTCATGGTGACAAATTTTTGGCATGCAGAGCCCTCTCTATAGGCATACATGCCGTCGTCCCAGTCCTAGGCCTTTAGCTGGGTTTTATAAAACCTTTTCGCTTTAGGCCTTCACCGCTGTGTGCAAAAAAAAAAATAAAAAATCAATCAATCAATTTCAACTTCTCGTGGGAAAAAAAAGATCTTGCAAAGTTGGAATTGATTGATTGAACTTTTTAGTCCCACCCAGTCTGCCATTACCACTGCAGCTACGCCCACCCAATTGACCATGCCCACCCAATTGACCATGCCCACCCAAAAGGTCACGGCTACCCGGCACCCGGCGACACATGTGGGTTTTGGGTTGCAGTTTGGGCACTCGGTCTCTAAAAGGTTTGCCATCACTGTGCTAGTTGGTTGCCAAGCACCCAAAATGTAATCACATGACTGGGGGAGGTAGCTGTTGGAATTGGGTCATAAGTAGCTTTGGGGAGATCCATTGTAACTTTGGTCACTAAGCAGCTGGGTCGCTAAATGAGAACTTCCAATATGAAAGATGTGCCAACAGTCATAATACTTTTTTTCCCTTGCGATTGATCACACTATGTTTATTTTCATCTCTTAAAACAAAATTTTGCAATATGTGGAAATGCACAAACGGTTTGGAAGTCAAGGCTTCCCGCATATTAACCTTCTTCCGTTTCTTTCCAGCCAACAATATTTCAGAATCACTTGCTGAGTCCGCCGCAGCCTATACAAAAGCAACGGCCAGGAAATGTCTCCTGGAGAAGGTAGAAGTAATCACAGGAGAGGAAGCTGAGAGTAATGTGCTACAGGTGAGTAGGACCCGCAAAAGTCAGCGCTCAGCTTGGGCAACTCCCAGGATGTTTGTTTCACTTTGTGTTGCTTGCCAGAAGGGTGGGTGTATGCTGTGGAGAAAACCTATTCACACACACTTGGGGGGGGGGTTACAAGTACAAGCCCAGAGCACCTTCTCTCAGCCAAACTTCAGAACAGGCACAACCTTAAATCTGGCAGAAACGTCAGGGGTTTAATATAGTTAGTTTTTTTTTTTTTCTTTCAAACCTTCTGCATGTTAAAAATCTGCTTGGTACGGAATACAGGTAGTCCTTAACTTACGACTGGGCCCAAAATTTCTGTTGCTAAGTGAGGCAGTTGTTAAGTGAGTTTTGCTCCACATTACAACCTTTTTTGTCACAGTTGTTAAGCGAATCGTTGTCGTTGTTACTTTAGTAACACGGTCGTTAAGTGAATCTGAATTCCCCATTAACTTTGTTTGTCAGAAGGTTGCAAAAGGAGATCATGTAACCCTGGGGACACTGCAACCATGATAAATAGGAGCCAGTTGCCAAATGTCTGATGCTGCATCGGCCGCGTGAAAACCGGTCAGAAGTCACTTTTTTCAGTGCCGTTGTAACTTCAAACGGTCTCTAAACAAATGGTTATAAGTCGAGGACTACCTGTACAACCCCATGATTTAAATACTAAATCTTGCCCTCTTGCTCCTTGGGCCAACGGGAAAAGGGTCCTCCTTGTTCCAGCCTTGATGTTGGTACTTCGGCTCCACATTCGTGTAACAGAGCTGCTCTGCAACAGTGGGCAGTTAGATGCTTTATGCAAGGAGACCCATCCCAGTACATCTGTGCTGAATCAGACCAAGAGCCACCTATCTATTCCAGCCTTCGGTTTGCGGTTGTTTCTGGAGAACTCCCAAGTGAAGTTGTGTTCCTCTCTTTGTTTGTGTCTGAGGTTCACACCACTCTCAGCTGTAATATACGTTGCTTGTTTTTTAGTTTATCCATAAATCATGAGTAAGCAAATTGTGACTTAGCAGAGTTATAATGCTTCTCAACCTCAGCAACTTTAAGATGTGGGGACTTCAGTTTCCATAATTCTTCACATCTTAAAGTTGCTGAGGTTGAGAAACATTGCTGTAAGCTGACCATAGACAGAGGTTCCATTTAGATATGTCCACTGAGGCTTGACAGAGTCATGTGAACAATATCAATAATCAATCCTACTGGATGAGACCAAAAGCTTAGATAATTCAGAACTCTGTTCTATGAAGCTTCTAAAAATTTTCCTCTTTAGTGTATCTAGTATTTGTTGGTAATTGCCTTGGAATGTAGAAGTACCATCCTAGTTTACAATTTCTATTTGATTTATCTCCTTTATTTTGCCCGCTTTAAATGCTACTTTATCTGGTAATATAGATGAGAGGGATTATGGAAAGCACTTCCATATTTCTTACTATGGAGAAATAATACTTTTGAATTTGGGGAGACCATGAAAACCCATTTTTCAAATGCATTGGAGGCTTTGGGGTTTGTGATCTCCTCGTTTGCTGCCTTCGTTAAAGTTCTCCAGCTAATGTTTCTGTTACAGATTCAATGCAAGTTGTTTGTCTTTGATAAGAGTTCCCAGTCCTGGGTGGAAAGAGGCCGAGGGCTTCTGAGGCTGAATGACATGGCATCTACGGATGATGGGACATTGCAGTCACGGCTGGGTAAGAGGAAAAGACTCCAGAAACCTAACCAACCAACCACGGCAGGAACCTAGATTGCAGTTGGATCCAATGTAGTCCTGGATCCATTTCCAGGCCACCCAGTTGTTATGGATATTTATTTATTTATTTATTTATGAGACTTATATACCGCTTTAAGTGCAAGCACTATCTAAGCGGTGTACACCAGTAAGCAATGTATATATATATTTACATTTCCCCCAACAATCTGGGTCCTCATTTTACCTACCCCGGAAGGATGGAAGGCTGAGTCAACCTTGAGCCGGTGAGATTTGAACCGCTGACCTGCTGAATACAGTCAGCTGAAGTGGCCTGCAGTACTGCACTCTAACTGCTGCGCCACCTAGACATTTGTAGCTGCAAGGGTAGCCTGTGGCATCAGGTGCCCCTGTGATTAAAGCTTATTGGTAGACAATGAGTTTATCCACATTCTAATAGTCAAGCATTTTTAAGATACCGGTCTTGTAAAAGGAATAAAGAGGACGTGGGAGAAAATCAGCTTTCCACAACGTAAATTATATAAGAATACGTGAAACTGACTGTGATTGTTGAACAATATCAGGATGATTTCCTGACATTCTGAGAGAGCTATGTAGTATAAAACATATAAGGAAAGGTTGATGGAATTGGGTATGTCTAGTTTAATGAAGAGAAGGACGAGGGGGGACATGATAGCAGTGTTCCAATATCTCGGGTTGCCACAAAGAAGAGGAAGTCAAGCTATTCTCCAAAGCATCTGAAGGCAGGACAAGAAGGAACAGGTGGAAACTAATCAAGGAGAGAAGCAACCTAGAACTAAGGAGAAACTTCCTGACAGAACAATTAACCAGTGGAACAACCTGCCTCCAAAAGCAGTGAATGCTCCAATACTGGAAGTTTTTAAGAAGAGACTGGACAATCATTTGTCTAAAATGGTATAGGGTTACCTGCCTGAGTAGGGGGTTGGACTTGATGACCTCCAAGGTCCATTCCAACTTTATTATTATTATTATCCTTTTTGCCAGCCTAATTTAGTCCAATGACTGTTAGTTTAAGATCAGAAGTAAAAATAGTGATTAAAGCATAAATAAGTCAATGTTTCTCAATCTCCGCAACTTTAAGGTATGTGGACTTCAGCTCCCAGCCCACACATCTTAAAAGTTGCTGAGGTTGAGAAATGTTGGTGAGGTAAAATATAGCACACTTAAAATCATCACTCCTCCAGAATATTTGAAAAAGTAATTCTGATCTGAGTACCGTAACCTGCCCATTCTCCATTATTATTCAACTCACTGTGAAATCCCTCTGTAACATTTTACCTGTGACCTTTGCCTGCCCCATTGATTTTAAGAATGAAGTACTTGTGATGGCATGGGGTTGACTTTGGTAGAGACACAGCTTCACACGCTTTTGAATACACACAAACCTCCTTTAGAATGGATGCTTGATTTAATTGAAGCTAAGAAGAAGGAATCTATCATGTTTAGTACTATGTCCTGAACGATCTTCCAAATGTCCTTGCTTCCTTGGGGTTGTGGGAATTCATCTTCCTGCTGTAAGAATTGCCAATTCAGGGGGTTGTACTCCAAAGGTATCTGGATTGATGGGTTTGGATTTATATGAATACTGTAGTTATTGTTTTTGAATGCAGACATTAACAAAAAATAGTTGACCATGTGTCTTTCATCTCTGTGGCACTTTGAACTAGTAATGAGAACACAAGGCAGCCTGCGATTAATCCTGAACACCAAACTGTGGGCTCAGATGCAAATTGATAAAGCCAGTGAGAAAAGCATCCGAATCACAGCCATGGACACGGAAGACCAAGGAGTCAAAGTGTTCCTTATATTGGTAAGGCCACAGATTGAGTCAGTGGATATATTTTGAGAGGACATTATGGGAAGTCTTGCATCTTACTTGCAACTAGAGGTTATGATTCATCATAATTATCCATTTACTAGAATGCTGTCTAGCACATTCTTCTTTGTGAGTGGCCTCACGAAGCCGTGCTTTTGATTCACAGACGTCAGCATTGAATTCCTTAGCAGGCAGATCATATTTTTGGCTAAACATGCTTGGACAAAGAGGGTGCAGTGGCTCAGCAATTAAAGACGCTGAGGTTGTCAGCTGCAAAAGTGACAGCCCAGGTTCAAGACCAGGCACAGTGGACGGGGTGAGCTCCCGTCCCTGCCCCAGCTCCTGCCCACCTAGCAGTTTGAAAGCAAGCAAATGCGAGTAGATTAAGAAGTGTCACTTCGGTGGGAAGGTAATTGTACTCCATTTGCCTTTGGTGTATAGCCATGTTGGCCATCTGACTATGGAAAATGACTTCAGACAACACTGGCTCCCTCAGCTAAGAAAAGGAGATGAGCACCGCCCTCTAGAGACCAACATAACTGGACAGGGGAAACCTTTACCTATTTGGACAGGTTACTTGTCAGTTTGCAGTCCTTTTAATGAGAAAGTTAACCTATTCTCTCCAAACCTTAGGCAAGTTCTAAAGACACAGGACAGCTATATGCAGCTTTGCACCATCGGATCCTGGCTTTGCGGAGTCGTGTAGAGCAAGAGCAAGAAACCAAAAGTGCAGCACCAGTGCCCGAAGTGACCCAATCCAATGAGGAAGACAGCGATGATGATGTTCTTGCCCCTTCGGGATCACCTGGAAGCGGTAAGCAGATTCCGGAGATATAGGTAGTCCTCAAATTACCGCCACAGTTGAGCCCAAAGTTTCCGTTACTAAGCAAGACAGATAAGTGAGTTTAGCCCCATTTTGCCACTTTTCTTGCCACCGTTGTTAAGTGAGTCGCTGCAGTTGTTAACTGGTGGTTAAGTGAACTTGGCTACCCCACTGACTTTGCTTGTCGGAAAGTTACAAAAGCTGATCGTAGACCCTGAGACAGTGCAACTGTCATACATCTGAATCAGTTGCCAAGTGTCTGGATTTTGATCATGTGACCATGGGATGCTGCAATGCTCATAAGTATGAAAAGCGGTCATAAGTCACTTTTTTCAGTACCGTTGTAACTTCAAACAGTCACTAACTAATAGTTGTAAGTTGAGAGCTACCTGTATTCTGTTCAGAACAATGGATGGGGATACCTCCGGTCTTGGGATCGTTCTGGAATTTCACTACCAAAGATACCCAAAGCATGTCTCAACCATGAATAACAATTTGTAGGATGTTATCATTCTGATCGACCTCTGTTCTCGAGAACCTACAGACCCAATTTTAACTCAAGACATGGGAATGGAAACAAAGCTAATCATGGGAAGACATTATTTTTTATTCCATTATTGAGCTTAGGTATTGTAAGGATGGAGTTTGTTCAGAGGTTATTTAAATGTATTTCTTTACATTTAAGAACAAAAGGTAAAGAAATTTTAAAACAACAAGTGTTGGTTTAAATGCATTGCAGCCTTGTATATATTCTACTAGTGTTTTCCCAATAGGTCTGGGAGCGGAATGTCCTATTAGCGTACATACCGGGCAGGGTAACAGCGATTTGGAAAGTTAATGGTTTGAAGTTTCTTCTTGAACTCTTTGCACATCAGTGCACCAGACTGGTTAATCTGACTTGCTTAAATTAATATTTTAAAAAATGTATTATGTTTTTTTGATTGGGATTTCATATTGAAAGGGTAGGCTATAAATTACTTAATCAAGAATGAACTAGTGAAATGGAAATGAAAACCGCCTGGACCAGTGATGGCGAATCTTTTAGAGACCGAGTGCCCAAACTGCAACCCAAAACCCACTTATGCATCATTGGGTGCCGGGTGGGTGTGGCCCATTGGGTGGGCATGACCCATTGGGTGGGTGTGGCTGCAGTGGTAACAGCAGACTGGATGGACTAAAAAGTTCAATCAATCAATTCCGACTTTGCGAGATCTTTTTTTCCTCCCGTGAGAAGTTGAAATTGATTGATTGATTGAACCCTTTTTTTTTTTTTTTTTTTTTTTGCACACGGCGACGGAGGCCTAAAGCGAAAAGGTTTTATAAAACTCAGCTGAAGGCCTAGGACTGGGGTGACGGCGCGCGTGCCCACAGAGAGGGCTCTGAGTGCCGCCTCTGGCACTTGTGCCATAAGTTCGCCACCACTGGCCTGGACTAACGGAGGAAATTGATTCCCGTTGCGAATAAGCAACGGTTCTACAATCCTGCTTTGAACATGAACCTCCCTGTTTCATATTGCAGGTCCCACTGATGAAGTGGATGGGCAAACAACCAGCAGTACATAGCGGCCACGATCCAGACCACTTGGAAGAGCAGCTGCCAGAAACCCCCTTTCACAGGGCCCTTTGTGAGACTCATGCCCCGGGCCATCTTTTGCTCTGGACAGCAACAGAGGCTCTGAGATTTAAGAACTCTGCATCCCTGTTCTGGGTGTTTTTTTTTTTTTTCTCTGTGTGTGTGTTGAATTTTTTTCAGGGGGGCTGGATCAGTTGATTCCATATTAAAAACAAAACACAGCAGACTTTGGACAAAACTGGCTGAATGTGATTTTGGGACATTTTATTGCTCATCATATTGATGAGCAGGGAGAAAAGAGTACCATTTCTCTCCTCCCCAACTTGTGATTCATTGTAGGGGGCAGGCACACCGAGACTTGCCATAGCTTGCCTGTGGCACCTCTTTGTCTTGCCACATGCATTCTTCCTCCATCCCCCAACTCCAGTAGCTCAATGGCCTCTGCCGTGGACCCTTCCAACACAGTCTCTTCTTGCCTAAAATCCCCATCGCCCACTGTGGTTTCTGCCTCTCCCACCATTTCTGAAGAAAAGTCGGATTTCAACTGGAAGACGTTTTCTTTTTTTTAAAAAAAAATAAAGATAAATAACAATTTTTGTCCCATTGGAAACTTTGCAGACAATAGTATGGCTTGTCTGGAGGGCATCTCTTTGGGAATTTTTTTTTCCCTCTTGGAAGTTAAAAACAACACAAGAAGACTTTTGCTGAGTTTGCGGATGGGGTGGAAACCCTTCAAGCTCTGGAGTGGGAAAGGGGGTGTGTTTTTTGTTCTTTTATTTTTTAATTATTCTTGTTTTTTTTTTTTTTTTTTTAGATTTTAATAAGATACTCTTGTGTGTTGACCAAGTGGGCCCCTTCTGTTTTGTACTGTTACGTTTCTGTTACTATTTAAAGGAGAGTGAAGCCACTGTGTAAATAGACATCCTGACACAGGCACACATGTGTACATATATAACAGGTATTCATATACCAGGTTGTTTTTAATCCTTTCAAATAATCTTTTATTTCCTTCTTGCCTTGCCAAGGTGCTTAACAGCTGATTAGGAAACAACTGCCTCATTTTCCTGAAAGGGGGGGGGAGCTGCTCTTCCAGTCTTGGCCAATTACTAAACGAATAGGTATTGCTTTGGGCACTTTCTCTTGGTCAGCAAGCATCTTCAGTTTGTGCCTAAATACAAGTTACCTAAGTATCAACCTGGGCTGCCACTGGCTCTGTGGGTTTGTTTGATTGAGATGTGTCCAGAGAGGGCTTTGTTGAACTGGGAAAGCTCTTGAAAGAAGATCAATGTTAAAAGGATTGTTTCTGGCTTTAGATGGAGTGTGATAAGTAAGTTGGGCTGCGACCTCTTGGGCAAAGGCCATAAAGACTTGGAATGCTTTGGTGACTTCCTGTTGAGGACTCTACAGAGTGGCACATCTATCAGAACAGGAGGTTTTTCACCAGCTCCGTAGAAGAATTGGTGGCCTTTTTATTCCCCTCTTGGTCTTGATAGGAACACGACTCGGTTGGACACCCAAATTTGAGCCATTTGCAATGAAGATGGTAACAACAGAGTTGGGACAAGGCACAGTCCGATTCCGCCTGACGGTGGTGGTTGAGAAGCGAAGAGGCGGCCTCTCGTCATCTTGTCAAAGGGAGCCCTGAAACCAAGAAGAGGGTGGAAGCCTATTTTTCAGTCCTGTCCACTGGAAAACGAGGACATTGTAATATGGAGTCTTGAGTTGCTGAGTCATACAAACAACCGGGGAACGTAGGCACTGCCGCCTCTGTGTAATGGATGGAAATTCTCATCAGGTCTCAGAAGTCTGCCCTTGAGTCGTTTCTCCTGTCTTTGTCATTTTGGAAGAGCTTCAAGCTAACGAAAGTTTCTTTTCACTTTCCCTTCCTGGGAGAGAAAGTGGATGGCCATGCATGTGTGCAGCCTTCACCAGATTTTTTTTTTTTTTTTTACTTAACCTTTCCCCTTATGTTTCAGTTCAATGCACCAGATATGTACATACCAACCACCTACTGAATAACACTGAAGACTGATACGATTGTAACTCTTGGGCAATTGTGCTGCTTTTAGGGAGAATAATTTTCCACTTGTGTTAACAAGACACTCCCCCCCCCTTTTAAGACAGTTAATTAGAACAGTGGATGCACATCTGGTTTTTTAAGTTACTTTGGCATAACAGGTATGAGTGAGATGGGAATAGGATGTAATTTTATTTGCCTTTGTTAAAACATCTGGAGTTAAGAGGATCCTCCCATTGGTACAGATGCGATTGTGTGAAAAGGCCGGGTGGGATTTGTGTGTATGGCATTTGAAGGAGGCACCCAAAGTCGTCTAGGGTAAGAGGCTACCTGGTTTCTCTAGAAACGTTAATATTCAATGGAATGTTTAAACAGTTACCCACAGAGTTCTTTTTTAAAAAAACAAAAACAAAACCAATCTGGCAGCTATTTATGGACACGGTGGTTTGGAGTGATTTGCTGTGGCAAAGAGAAGGAGATTCTACGTTTCATTCTAGGCTAGCCACAGTCTGTATTCCTTGCACAGTAACTGTCTGGAAACGCATTTTGGGCGCTTTCCTGAGATGGAGAGTTGGCTGGGCCAGACACAGACTTTATAAATTTGTTTTCTTCTTCAAGCCGTTAGCCAATTAGTGATAAGTAAAAGAAAACAAAAAACAAACCAGACAACACCCATGTGTTTTGGAAGATTTCTGTACAATTGTCATATCAGATGTATTTGGAAATTACATTAAAAACTTGTAACAAAAGTCCTGCTTTGTGTAATTCTATGATACAAGGAGAAGCGGAGAGGAGCATAGTTTCATTTTTTTGTGGAAATGCACGATTGTGTGGGAAGGCTCTTAACCGAGGAACTCTCTGCCATCTTATGGCCATTAATGAAAGTGCCTCCCAAAAAGAGTACAAAATTCAGAAATGAGGCAATGGATCTGATTGTCGGTTTGATTTGTGAAAAAGAGAATACCAAATTGTTACAGAAATGATATTCAAGTCTGGAAAGCTTGAATATATGAAAAAGAAACAGCGGAACAATTCCACCTTTTGTTAGAAGTTAAAACTTTGAAAGGCTTTCAAAACTGAAGTCAGACCTTTTAGATAGGCAAAGTCGGGAAACAGAGTTACTAGAAACCTTGAAATGTGCTTTTCATGCAATGTTTTCTCAACCGTGGCGACTTCAAGATGGATGAATTTCAACTCCCAGAATTCTGTGCTGGCTGGGGAATTCTAGGAGTTGGAGTCCATCCATCTTCAAGTTGCCACTGTTCAGAAATACTGCATTAATATATTTTGGCTATTGTAACAGAATCCTAAAAGCCTGACGAAGGTCTTTAGTGCAACCTATACCTTACTGCAACCAAACCACTGTTACTCGTTCCTTTCTCACACGTTCTAATTTACTAGATTCAAATATCTTTGATGGCCTGGCAGTCATTTCTCCTTCTCTGAATCAAACTGACATTCCATTACAAAATATTCGTGAATAGTTATGTTCTGTGGGTTTCTTAGAAGTATCTCAGCCATTTCGGGCAACAAGTTCTGTTTTTGTCTTGGTCTGAAACTGGTACTGCTATTAATAGAACAGCAATTAAGTAATAAGGGGTCCTTTAAGAATAAAGTTAAAAAGGCTATATAAAATCCAATTTCCTGCCAGCCATTTCTGGGATTTCTCCTTTGGAACAACTACAGTAGCTATTCTCTTCTACGAATAGGAAGCTGGATTTAGAAATACACTGGAATCAGAGCTGGTTATATTGTGTCAGACATAAAATGAGACTTAGTTACTGAGGTATTCTTAGATATATTTTTTTAAGGGCATTTTCTAACATTGAGAAATGCATTCTGTTTAACGTCAGTAGATTTTAAAAAAGTTAATTAAAAATTACTTGGTTGTGTTAAAGCATTCATGTCTTGCTGGGGTCATCAGGTAGGCTACTGTGAAATAAAATAATTGAGACTTGGAGTTCATTTAACGGACAAATGTCCCTAAGAGGAAGATATTCCAGAACTGGTTTCGTTTCAAGTTAGTTGGCTTCATGCTAAGCTGTAAAACAATGTTAAGCTAAATGTGTTAAGCCAGTGAATTATAATTAACCAAACCTTGGTTTAATATGTATAAAAACAGTATTCTTCACTGGACTACTTGAGTATTTTTTGTTAAATGAAATTCCTTGTTGGATCCAGACCAAAATCTGTTACAGCTAAGCTAAGCTATAATGATACTTGCTTGGGTTTCACTAAGCACACAAACCAATCCAGTGATGGATGATTCAATGAACTATAGATGAAGTACGGCATAATAGGATGTATGAATCCAGTTTTTACCTCCTGTTGCTCATCTACAACTCTAAATGTCAGTTTGGGGTGTATTGGGACTAAAGGCTTGACCAAAGCTTCTCATCTCTTGACCAAGATCAGCTTTGGGGCTTGTGCATGTTATCCTTGGAATTAAGTATTAACATGCCAGATACATTCACAAAGATAAAATCTGAATCGCTCATTTCAGAAAAAAAAATCTGGGAGGAAAACACGGGGAAATTAAGTTAGCTTGCCCCTCTGCTCTACAGAAAAACATATAATTTACTTTTCAGGCTGACCAATTTTTGCCACCACTCTAAAGGATACAAGTTTGACACTGTTTCAGTCTGACTTCATTTAACTATTTCCAGTTTGGGAGTCCTAGGAGAAATGTGTCTGCACCATGCTGTACAGTTAGGTCAGGGGTAGGCAACCTTGACTCTTTTATGACTCGTGGACTTCAACTCCCAGAATTCCTGAGCCAGCCATGCTGGCTCAGGAATTCTGGGAGTTGAAGTCCACGAGTCATAAAAGAGCCAAGGTTGCCTACCCCTAAGTTAGGTGAATCTTCTTCCCAATTATGTTAGCATGTGGTAGTACCTGGTCAGTCTTGGTTGGATAGCAAACTGAACAGGATTTGGCTTGGTTCTGTACTTGATAGGGAAGGCCAGAGTTTTGGTTAGATTGGAAAATGGAAATTAAAAAAAAAAAACTAGCAGAGGCAGTGGCAAACTACTTTCAAACTGTTGCAAAAAAGCCCTCTATATTCATTAAGTTACCAAGAATTGACGGGATGCTGCCTTTCCCATTACAATGAGTAATTAAACTATTAATTAAAGAACATTCTCTGCCGTCAGTTGTAAAAAGTTAAAAATTTAAAGTGGGTACATTTGGACACACACACACACAAGTCCTGCTGTGCTGCTTCATGGGACAACATGGTTCTGGGACAACAGCACACATAGTGGTGAGAGAGATCAAGTGGTGTCTTTTAGAAATTTTTAAAAGACCAGGGGTTTTCATTTGTGCTCCAAGTTTGAGACAGATAATTTAGTCTCAGAATCCGTGGGATTCTAATTCCGGACCATAAGGTGTACTTCTTAAGCTGATGGTATTGCTAACTCTCCATCCTTACCATGTACCACTTTTTACACCCTACTGGATAGTAACAAGCAACCAAGTTGGAGTTGGTGAATATTTTATTCAAGAGAAAATCTACTAAGAAAGTCCAGGAAAGAGTATAAAAGCCTTTCACTATTCTGGTTGATATAGAATCCTGCACTGATAGACAAACCCATAGCACTGAGTTGGAAAATGTTAAATGTTCTTCGGTGTAGAGACTGATAAATCCACAAGGGCTAGGAACTTGTGTCTCTCCAGATAGCTGACAAACTACAGTTCCCAGCAAACCCTAGCCATTATGGCCAATAGGGATCTTGGAAGTTGAACCCCTTTATTTGACCAGCATTAGTTGGATGTTATAGCTTAAGTGATTTCCAAAAAGCACAAACTTTCCTTAAACAAAAAACAGAAAAAGGATGGAAGTCAGGAAAACCAGAGTCCCTTCTGCTATAGTTAGCTTTCTATTGCAGCATCTTAATTATGGGCAATTTAGAGGAACCTCTTTTTTTCAATCATATGTCTTACCTGCATGTACAAGCTGGATTCTCATTACCCAAAGTCCTAAACCTACTTTGCACTAGAATGTCCTAGGAATTTCGTACTGAATATGTTGTGCTAAGTTTCCTATGCTTCAGAAGGGAATGCCAACTCTTGAGGCCACTACAGCTTCCATGCAGCTTTCATCATGTCAACAAAATAGCCATCGCTATCAATAGAGGCACTGACTCCACTGTAGTAGTTCAGGAATTCCTCATGCGTGATCTGTAGAGAAATATGGGGTAGATTTTAATGTTTGTCCCTAATGACCAAACCTCATGTTTTATTGGGGTTGATGCTGGTTCAGTATTTGAAATACTTGGACAAAGCAATACTTTTACTTCAAGACAGTAAATATTTGGGATTGCCAAAAATAGTTGTAGTATTAGGCCATTCATATTAATAGAAGAAAAGAATGTCATGGAAAGGATGTGATGAGAAGAAAAGCAGCATTCACAAGCATTCTCTTCTTGGCTACTTTAAAGCTGTGTTTCCCAGCCTTGGACACTTGAAGATGTGTAGACTTGAACTCCCAGAATTCCCCAGCCAGCAGGGGGAATCTTCAAGTGGCCAAGGTTGGGAAGCACATCTTAGCATCCTAAAAGGGTCCTGCACGGTTATGATTTATATCTGCAAATTTAGTAAAATCTTGGTTTAACAGATTTCCATTCATGGATTTTGGATCCAGTGGGCAACATTTTCTCTAGCTCCCTCCTCCCAAAATGGATCAAGTCCATTTTATCCAAAATTGTCCAAACAATTCATTTAAATGTATTTATTCATTCAATTTTTATAGCCGCCCATCTCAAACAAGTGACTGGATGGTGAACAATCATAGAACAACTAAAAACAGTTACACTATAATTAAAAATCATATATAAGGCAGCCAAAATATTTAAAACACTGCTAACAATTTATATCATTTGCATCCTGACATATGTTCTGAAATGGTCCAATTTATATCATTTACATCAACTTTTGTCATTTGCAAACAGAATGAATTGGCCCAACATTTAAATTCAAATCTAATGGACATTTGGAAGCAACACACAAAACATCTAATGATCTATTAATTCAAGGTTTTATTGTATATCTTAGATCAGCCTTCCCCAAATGGGTGTCTTCAAATGCCCACTGGACGTGTGTCCTTCTAAATTTGATAAAATAAACATAGTTTGGAATCACAACTATTAGAATGCCACACCAAGAGATCATTCTGGCTGTTTACCTTCCCATCCTTATCATCAGGAGAGTCAAAGCTCTCCAGAAAGGCGCTGAAAACCTGATCTTCTGTCCACTGTCCACTCTTAAACTTGGGGTGGGACTGGCTGTTGTAGACCCCATGAAGATCCTCTACTGTTACCAATCCATCACCAGTCCTGTCCAGTTTCTGGAATGCTTTTGCAATTATGTCTTTCCTGGTGTTGGACATAGGAGGCTAAAGAAAAGTGATAAGAAGTCAAGAATGTTGGAGTTCCCTTGTTTTTTTTTTAGCCAGATTAATGGTGGACCTATTTCTCAAGGATCACCAACAATAATTCAATAGAATCTCTGAATCTTTAGTGCTAGAAGAAAGCCTTTATGGATTTCCTCTGGTAATGTGCGAGACATACTAAAAAATTTGATGAACATCCTCTCAGCTGCCATGGGTCTTCTAGATCAGGGGTGTCAAACTCAATTTCATTGAGGGCCGCATCAGCATTGCGGTTGCCCTCGGGGGGGGGGGATGGTGGGTGTGGCCAAGGGGGGCGGCCTACTGGGTAGGTGTGGATGGAGTGGGTGTGGCTTACTGGGTGGG